TTAATAATCCCCAAATGACATACTACCTTCCATACATGTAGATAGTGGTGTCTGTGGGTACTGGGCCCCCAGGCTTTTTTTTCTTCTAGTTAAGTTGCTCCAATTTTTATTATACCTTTAAAACTTTTTTCCCATAGTTTTGTGTTTTTAAATTGAGGGGAAAAGGATTCTATAATGGAAGTTCACCTTCAAATTTATAACTCTGCCATCTTGATCAAATAGTTTATTTCTACTGTTTTCTGTTAATGATTTTATATCAACCAACATGACTATGGTCTGAAAGATGTAGCTCCCCCAAATGCTTGAGCTGAAATCCGAATGTCAGTGTGGTGATATTAGGGTGTGGGTCTCTGGGGATGCTTAATCACCAGAGTGGAGCCCCTCATGAATGGGATCAGTGCACTTATAAAAGAGACACACAGTTTTCTGCCACATCTTCTGTTAAAGTGAGAAGCTGATCTCTGCAAATAGGAAGAAGACTCTCACTAGCACCTTACTATGCTGGCACCCTGATCTTAGACTTCCAGGCTTGAGAACTGTGAACCACACATTTCTGTATTTTTATAAACCACACAGAAGCCTGAACTGATTAAGATAAACACACAATATTAATATATGGCCAACCTTTTCAATTTGATATTTATTTCAGTATCCACTCAGTCCTTGGCTCCTTGAAAGCAGAAGACATAGTTACCAAGAAGCAGTGACAAGACAGGAAGAGATGAATCTCCTGCAATTAACTGACCTCTATTATACTATGTTATCTCAAGCTTTTTTAATAGGAGGTGAGAATAATGTGCTGAAAGAGGCAAGTGACTTTCAGTTAGTTTCCAATCAAAAGACCTCGGGTATGTATGAATGCACCAAAAATACATGCAAAACAGTTTATCACCACTAACCTGAAGCCTGAATTACAGCCAGTTCGAATTTTTCTACTCCTTGTTCTACCTTTAGTAAAAGTGCTAAGAAAAAGAAAATGGGTAAGGAATGAGGCATGAGGGAGAAATGAGAGGTAACTTAAAACGTTGACAACTAACTGTATCTTGCCAAAGTTAAATGTTCTTCGTTTATTGTAACCCAGCAAGTAACTGTATTCACATGTATTTCTTTGTGAGGAAGTATAGCTCATAGAAGACAATACAGATCCCATTCAAAACTGTCAATGAACAAATCAGTGTTTCTAATCAAAAGATGTGTCCTGTAGTAATCATCTGAACAGTCCTCACAATCACTGATTATACACCAACAGCCATAACAGAGACTTCTGGCCCTGGGAGATCACTTCTAAATGGACACTAGGCAATTTCATTAGAACAAATGTTCAGTTAGCAACCTTATGTTCACTTTAATTCCCAGCTCCTTAAATATAGTGGAGCTTAACGACTGTATCCAATAATTAAGGAATATGATCCAAGTAATTTGACGTGCTAATGTCCCCTGTGAAGTTTTAAATCAGTCAGTAATTCTTGACAAATTTAATTCAATGTATTTTTCATTCTAGTTACAAACTAAATATTGGATATACCCTCAATCTTGACACGATTAACACTTGGGATCAGATAATTGTTTGTCGAGGGGTCTGGCCTGTATATGCTAGGAAATCTAGGAGTGACCCTGGCCTTTATATACAAGTCTCCAGCAGCATTCCTGAAGCTGTGACAAACAAAAACATCTCCAGACACTGCCAGATGTTCCTAAAGGATAAAATCAGAGCCACTGTCTGGATAATATCAGCTTCCTAAGAAAGAACTGGTTTGGATGATTCTAAGAGAGCAAGCCTATTCCCTTCCTCATAGGTGTCAATTTCAGACTGACTACTTTCTCCCAGCCTGATGTCCAATGAATTTATCTAATTAAGTCACACCTTTGTTTTCTCATCTGGGATTTATAATTATTTCTACAGCTCCTGAAGACTAAATAAAATCAGCTATGCAAAATGCTTAGGAGAGTACTTAGCAAATACCAAGCACTCAGTAAGCATGGGCTGCCATTATTGCTACTCTAAACTGAAATTAGTGTAGAAGTCATTCAAAGCTGTGGATAAGCCAATCAGTGTTTCTAATCAAAAGGTCTCTGTCATGGTGCAATCATCTGAACATTTTAGTTTAGAGGTCCTCACTATGCAATCAGTGAGCTAGGGCACTTTGGATATTCAGCTAGAAAAAGAAAGATTTTGATCTTTCATTTGAGGGACAGTTGCTCTTTTGAATAAACAACATGATGGAAAAGGTGGGATTAAGACTTTGGAGTCAGAAGTTTGGGGTATAATTCACATTTCCTTGGGGAAATTCCAAATGTTCTACCTTCAGGTTCATTATATACAAGTTCACAGTGGAAGTTATCATTAACAGTATGTTTGAAATATAAAGACATAAAGTATTATTTTTAAAAGCTCTGTGAAAATCATTGCAATGCACAGATGATCCTAGGATCTCCCCTAGTGAGTGTAATTGAGCAGGGCCTCCAATTTCTGTGCTTTGAAATCCATCATCTCACCTGCTTCAAAGGCCGTGCCTTCCTCTGGCTTCTCCCCACCAATGACTGAATAGGCAGGAGGATACTGAGGCAGACACCCTGAAGATACAGCACTCTGTCTCTTGGCTCTAGTGAGAATGAAATAATAAATTAACATCTTTACACTTTGCTTCTCATCTTTTTCTTTTTATAAAATACTTTACAGTTTAAGAACTCTGCATACCCCTCCACAATTCTATTTTTTCTTCCTCAGAGGTAGCTTATATTTTAATTTATGTATATTTTCCCATTTTTACTCTCTGTGCCACTATACACATACAATTCAACAGTTATTTGTAGATCTAGTTGTTAATCATATCTAAGCATGTGAAAATAGATAGACTGCCTTTGTTTGAATTGTTATGCTACATTCTGATCATTATACTCTGTGAAGTGACTATGTCTTAATTCATCATTTCTCCTTCTGATGGATGTTGTCAATATTATCATTATTACAAAAACATGTAAAATCATTTATTTAAAGTAAATAAATATAAATTTGACCAGTGAAAACTGCAGGCAAATATTATACAGGTGAAACTAAACTGATAAATAAACATAAGGGAAACACTAAAGTATATTTTTTAGGGTGTCGCACATCTTAATAGTAATTTTCTGAGATCTATGCTACTTGAGGAAAGAAAGCTCTACTAACAGTAACAAATATTCAGTTATTCACATTGCTATTCTCTCAACAGCCACAGCCCAGAGGAAAGTCACCATAGCTCCTAACCTTATCATTTTCTGTTAATATTTAGTGAACATTTCAAATACAATTAGCTGCTTCTTCAGATTAAAGGCTTTTACATAGGTCCAACAATGAAGACCTGTACATAGAACACTAGAAGTTGATTTGCTCCATTCTTATATTTTTGAGTGTGTCACACCGAATTAAAGAAATGACAACTGGAAGGCTAAACAGCTAGAAAATATCACTTCAAACGTGAATATTCTTCAAAGAGAGTGTAGGGACAACACTCTTCTCACAAGAAGAAATATAAGAGAAGCAAGTGACAAAATGCTTTCCATAGGACTCCTGTTTTTGGCTGTTTGGATTTCACCTGGTAAGTTCAAAATACATTTTCAGAATCCTGTTTAATTTTTAAAAACTCATGTAAGGATAGACTTAAGTCATTAATAGCACACTTAAAACCCAAATTTTGGTTGTTAAAAATGGAAGAGGAAGACTAGATGAAAGGGGGTCCTTAATCATTGTCTGAATGTTTGGTTTTGTAATGAGGGAAACAACCATGGAATGAGGTGACTTTATGAAATGTTGTTCAATCTTGGTTGGGGACTTAAATGGAAAATTATAAAAGGTAAAAAGTTTGTGTAAGATTGTGATTTAGAAAATTCCTGAATCCGAGACTGGTGAGTATTAGGACTCTGAATAATCACAGTGGGTGAGAAATATAAATTAACAAATAAATTGACTAGTAGATAAAAATTACTTGCCAAGTGATAGTATTATAGCTTGATCATGGTGTCAAATTGAAGACTGGCTCCAAAGTATAAGACTTTTGAACCCCTCTAAAAATACATTTTTGAAATGCCCAAATGCCCGATAGCTTCTCTTCAAAGCACATATACTAGTGAAAAGTTAACTTTTTTTTTTAAACAACAGTCAAATTAGCCAATTCTTGGTTTTACTTCTGGTTTTGTTAGTTTTGAAGAGAAATGATGAGTTTGCTAACTGCATCTTTGTAAGAATATTAACATTGGAAGTCCAGGAAATTCAATTCAACTGAACATTTGTTAAGTGGCTCCTAAATTAATGAGCACTTAAAACAACGTTTACACAAAATGCACTGAGAAAGTTAGCCTCTTCCTCCAAGTCTTACTGCTAGATCAAGCTTTACATAATAATTTCTACTGTCTTTCCAACTAATCTTCTCATTCCACACTAGGTTAAGCGGGTTTGACATGTTCTTACTTCTGACAATTTCCCTCTTCCATGTTTGCAAATATGAGGGATGTATTTAGTATAAAGTAAACTTTGCTAGCTCAGTTTATTACTCCTTTAATTCAATCATCTTCTTGGATTTGATTATGAGGACTAACAATCAAGGACCATTTCAAAGTAATTTAGAAATTCTAGAATCATTTCTGTGAATCATGCTGTTGAATTATTTTGCTTACCCTAAACACAGGCTTATGTCATGTCAGTAATAAAGAAAATTTGAAAAGCACTATTTATGCCATTAATCAGTGGATAATTTGAAATAAACTATCATAATGGAAGTTAATGATTATAAACAAACACATTTACACATACTTTATGTGGCATAAAACAGAATTTTGTGAAGGCAATGGTTAATTTTACATCTACATCAAGAGTCAGAAGAAAACCTTCCCTGATTTAAACTACAGAAAGTGAGGAAAAAACTACAGTGAGAGCAGAATTTTCAGAATCCACTGGGACATAAAGCAAATGGATACTGGCGATATGTGATGCTAGGAAATCTGCTTCTCTTGTTTCTCCTTAGTACAGGCTGGACAGTGGGCTAATATATGTGCAGGGAAGTCTTCCAATGTGATCAGGACATGCGACGACCATGGCTGTGGCCAGTATGCTGCTCAAAGGTATGGAATATCCCAGATAAACACCAGACTCTTGGCTCTAAGTCTCTTTGTTGGTATTCTTGCCTTACATTTCCTTGAGTGATCATAATCATCCCCCAGAGACGGCAGGGAGCTCAGAAAGGACACCCATTATATCACTGCATTTGGAGTAACTTTCAAGAACTCTGCTTCAACTGTGGGCTCTAAAGTAGGAACAGAACATGGAATAAAGAAAAGAGAGGGGCACAAACCCTGCGTTTACCCTCTCAAAGTTTTCATATTTAGATTATCTCACCCTTTCTTTTTTCCAAAGTGAAGATCCAACATTATTATCCCATTTTGTGGATGAGGAATTTGAACTGAGGCACCAAAGGGTTAACAGACAGACACAGTTGGAGTTATTAAAGGTTGGACTTGGGTTCAGGCCATGGGGTTCAAGTTGCATCATACCATATTGTACTGACCCAGCCTCTGAGAGGCCAGTTCCTCCAGGAAATGTGAGTTTTGTGAATTTTCAGTAATACACAGCACCATCCTGGGGATATCATTCTCTAATAAAATAGTCATGTGTGCAATTTCATCACTGATCTCCATCCTAATTATAGTGGAACTTTCACTTATACAAATACTACTTACAAAGCAATATGGGTATCTGGAATGGAGCTAAGAAATAAGAGAAAATGGTCTTTGAGTTGCCGAATTTAATAATCAATTTGTGCATACCCACTGGACTTAACAATAACTCACTGTCTACTCACTTGGTACCTACTTGATGGTGCTTAACATGTAATTCTATCAATCCCGGTGGGTCTGACTTTCCAGGTAAAAACTATGAGAAGGAAGAACAGGTGGTCAGCGCAGGAGGGAGTGAAAGCAGTAAGGATTACTAGATAATTTTGTTTTGTTCTGTACACTTTAACAAATCCAGAAGTATCACTTACTGCATTGAAACTGAAATACCATATGCAGTACATGATGTTTATGAGGACTTCTGGATTGCTGAGAGATAAACAAGACTAGGGTAACAGGTGATCCCTTTACGATAGATTTCATAAAAAGACAATACTTTTCCAGATAGCTATGAAAGACATCTATAAAATTTACTTACAAAGATTACCTCATTTCCCCAAAATGCTACATAATAATAATATATAACATTTTTAAAGGCTTCCTTTGTACTGAGAGTTATTTTTAAAGCTTTAATATTCACAACATGATTATTGCTATCTGCAGGGAAGAAGAATAAAATTGGGCTAAACAGAATCAAGAAACCTCACCATGGTTTGGAAATCCTAACATTTCTGGCTGCTTCAATTTTTGAAAGTCTAGTCTGAGAATAATGTTCTATCATATTGCTGTGCAATTAAGTACCCAGAGCAGTGACTCATTCTTATTTACATCCCAGAAATCACAAGCCTCATCAGGGTGTGGATGTCCTGTGCTCCGATGGAGCTACTGTGTATGCACCTTTCACTGGAAGGATTGTGGGGCAAGAAAAACCTTACAAAAATAAAAATAAAAATGCTATCAATAATGGTGTTCGGATATCTGGAGGAGGTAAGAGGTAGTATATATACCTAGGAGATGTTTGATGCTTGCTTAATGCATATTCCATTGCATTCATGGACTGCCACAGAAGTACCATATTCCCATCAGAATAGTAAAACCTAGAACATAGAGGATATAGGGATCCAAACAAAAATAACTACTGTATTTTCAAAGATGTTCCACCACTTTCCCTAACTTTTAGCACAGACCCAAAGAAACTCTATAATTAACTGAATAACTTTCTTCCTGTGTTCCATGTGGTTCTGCTTAACAATCTATAAACAAATAACTTTTAGCAATATTAACTGTAATTGATATGTCCATTTATCCAAATGCCACAATTTGAAAACAGTGATCTTTGATTCCCAAAAGCTTCTATTCTAAACAAAGCTGGGTCTCCAGCTCTAGATATTGGGGTTGTTTTTTAATTGCTTTAATTCTACTGAGTTATAACATACACATAGCACGTATACAAAAACTAAGTGCACAGCTCATGAATTTTCAAAGGGAATATAACTGTGTAATGAGCATTCTGATCAAGAAAAAGGATATCAGCAGCATCCTGATATCCTTAATCATTTTTCCCAGCAAGGTAATTGCTATCCCAACTGCTAACACCATATATTAGTTTCACCTGCTTTTAAAATGCTATCCACAGCATGCAGTGTTTTTTGTGTAGCTTCTTTCATGCCACATCTTATTTGTGAGATTCATCCATGTTTTTGCCCATAGTTTTAGTTCCTTTATCCTTACTGATGTATAGCATTCCATTATGGGTGTAGATTATCAATTTAATCATTTTTCTCTAGGTGGGCTTTTAACTAGTATCCATTTTTAGGTGATTATGAAAAAACTATGAACTTTCTTGTAGATATTTTATAATGAATGTATATGGATGTGTGTGGGAGGGTACCCCCCTTGCCATGTCAGTGAGAAGAACTTTGAGATGAAGCTCTCACATCCTTGAAGACCTAGACAGTGGCTACCTCTTTAGGCCTGAAATCACAAGAGAAACTGCTGCCAACAATCAGGATCCACTTAATAGCCAAGGTCAAAATTAGCTTGGCTACCTAACAGGCAGCAGAACTGAAGCAGTAATCAGTTTCCTCAGAACCAGAGATGTGCAGTGTTCCCTAAAAATGGTGACCCTAGAAATGAAGAGACAGTTAGCTGGAGTGATGGGGAGGACAAGTCCTCTTAAGGAAGGGCTCGGTCACACAGCAAAAAAATTGTAATTCTGGTCATTCCCAGAGGGATGTGCCGCTATTTAGAAGGATAACTGCACTTTGGTGAGTGAGAATTAAGTTCTTCAGCAATTACTGGATACTCACTCAAAACTGACACTGATTCCTAGAGACCCAAAAGATCACTGTGGTTCACCAGAGAGACCGAAGCATACTAGAGTCAAGTGAGCAATGTAGTTTTTCATTAGTCAACCTTACAATGGGTCTGATGTATCTGCAGGTTTACCCTGTGTTATCTCCCCAGTTCCAGAATGCATAATTAAATCAATATACCTACTTGGCAGTTAGCAAATGCTATCGGAGTCCTGACTCTAGGCTACTTTGGTAATAGCTTCAAACTACACTCTTGCCAGGAACGTGTGGAAGTTCTAGTTGCTCTACATGTAGGGCTTGGTATTATCTCTATTGTTTTCCATTCAGCCATTCTGATGAGTGTGAAATGGCATCTCATTTCAGTTTAATTTGTTTTTACCTGAGGGTTAACGAAATTGAACGATTTTTTCATATTTTTTGATAACATTGTTATTACCTTCTGTGAAATACCTACTAAGTACTTCACTGTCTCTTCTTGCCTGTTTTGCTCTTATTGGTATGTAGGAGCCTTTTCCATATTCTGGATATAAATTCTTTGCCAGCTCTATGTAAATATCTCCTCTCTTAGCTGCCTTTCCCCCTAATTTAGTGAATAGAAGTTCTTTTTAATGCAGTCCAATTTAGTAGTATTTTATTTTATCACCACATTTTAACCTGCTTATGATACATTTGTCCACCCTGTCACATGAAGATAGTCCTTTATATATTTTTGTCTATAAACTTTATTGTTTCATCCTTCCTATTCAAATATGCCTGGAACTGCTTTTTATGTAAGGAGTGACACAGGGATAATTTTTTTTTAATCCATTTGATTTCTAATTGACTCAGCACCATTGACAAGACTCCTTTTCTCTATTCTACCACAGTATCTTTTGTCATAAATCAGGGTCTGAATATATGTGGGTCTGTTTCTGGTTTTTCTATTTTTTTTTATTGTGTTTCAGTTAATCTGTTAATATCGTACAATTGCCAAACTGTCTGAATTACTATAGCTTTAAAATGTATCTTGAAAACTAGTAGTAAAACTTCCCAACTTCCTCCTCTTTCAGATTGCTTTGGCAATTATTGGTAGTTTAAAATCCAGATTCAATTTGTCAAGTTCCACCAAAATCTCAGCTGGGTTTGCATTGAATATTTAGATCAATCAAGAAGAACAACTATTTTAAAAGCAATTAATGAACATGTTATATCCCTCCGTTTATTTAAGTCTTCTTTCATTGTTATAGTAATTGTAGAGTTCTTAAACACCTTTAATGTAATACATGTACACAAGACACATCTTATTTAATTTTGTTTAGTTCTTCAATAGCGGTACAATACAGAAGAAATACAGTAAAAATATTTCTAGTACCCATATTAAGTAAAAATTTTCTAGTAACCACATTAAGTATACTGCTGAGGGAAGCAGAGGGTGAGACAGGGGGTGGGAGGGTAGGGGGAAGTGTCTGCTGTGCCTTGTGAGTCATCTTGGGGAGAGGGATGGAGCTTGCCCTGAGGTGGTTGTGGCCAGCTTGCAGAGTTGCATCTTAGCCTGTTGCGCCACCAGGGAGGGCCCACAATTACTGTGCTTTACAGACATGTATAGAAGAGGGTTTTGTTTCCAAGCCAATACAAAAATCTCTTTAACAGCCAACATTTACAGATATTACCTGTATTATCTCACCATTGTCATATTTTTTTTTTTATAATTATGGTATTATACTAAGTCTCTGTTTCTGTTTGGTGGAGGCTTTGTTTTAAAACCTGTCTTCTTTTGAAATTTAAGAATATTTATATTCTTGTGCCAGTTATTTCCATTTTTCTTTAGTCCTTAATATATAATAATTTTGTTAAGTATGCCTTGGAGTTGACATTGCTTTGGGTCAATTTTCTCAGCAGCCTAGTATTTTTCCTGCTATTCATCAAAGACTATTAAATTTTCATTTGAATCTATTCTCCCTTGGGCATCTTGTAATTTTAGTCTTCATTTTTGATAAGATTTTGTCATTTTCTCCTTTATTAAGTTCAATTAATACTCATTTGTCTTCTTATCCATTCTCAGCAACCTAGTATTTTTCTCCTATTCTTCCAAGACTTTATTAAATTTTATTTGAATCTGTTCTCCCTTGGGCATCTTGTAATTTTAGACCCCATTACTCCATTTTTTCTTCCTTATTGAGTTCAATTAATACTCATTTCCTTTGTCCTTTTATCCATTTCTGCTTTTATTTTTTTGAACTTTGATTAAAAAACCCAGATTGTGAATAATTTTATTTCTTCTTTTCTTTTAGGTTTCTGTATTAAAATGTTCTACATTAAGCCAATTAAATACAAAGGTTCTATCAAAAAGGGAGAAAAACTGGGAATGCTACTGCCCTTGCAGAAAGTTCATCCTGGCATACAATCCCACATACATATTGAAAACTGTGATTTGAGTGATCCTACAAGGTATCTATAAATGGAAATGAATGACCAAATCTTCTAAATAGAAAGACATCCTTTAAAAGCCTGGATGCATAGCCTGGTTTTCAAGAAATCTGTTCAAGTGAAATATGAGGGATAGCATTTTGATTTGAACTCACTGCCACTTTGATGTTTGAGTGTCAACTAATTTCTTGGTGCACTGTGATCTTTCTGTCATCTGGGATCTGGGATATTTTAAGATTTCTCAGCCCTAAATATACCAGATAGATAAGCACATGAATTGAAGCTGGTCCAGAGTACATTTCTGACCCTTCTAAAGTTAGCTTCCTTTTTATTTGAAAAGAAAAATAAGAAAAAGTCTGATGCAGATTTTATGGTGTAAGAAGAGTGCTGTACAATGTTAGATACATATATACAAATATTAAACTAATTGGAAGTTATTATTTTTTAGTTAAGATAGTCAGAATTTCAGCCATATAATTAGGTTTATAAATTTGTAAAAGGTGAGCTGCTTGCATGGATAAGACAGAATATTCTAGTTTTTCAACCACATTCTCCTATACTCTATATGAAGAGAATTTCTAGGTACTGAGTGATGGCAGTCCAAGGAAATATGTAATATTCTAGATTTCAATAAGATTGCAATACAGAGAGTAATTCCATAAAGAGAAAGAAGTCAATCTTAACCGCGAGTACCTCTTGGAATAGTCTGTTGTCCTCATATTGCCAAATGCATGTCATAGATACTTATTTCTACACACCATTGTATAACTATATTATACTGTTCCTAGATATGCTGACAATAGGTACTAAGAGGAAATAAGACCAAGAAAATGTTAAAAACAAAACAAAAACAAAAAACAGAAGTGAGTTCTATTCTTTGGTAACAGGATCATATGCCTAGATTTTAGTTAGTCAATAAGAAATATGTAAGTTAAAATCATTACTCTGGAAACTTCATAAATTTTTGCTTACTAAGTTTTAGAATACAGAAAACTCCAAAAGAATGTTTCTATTTTTAGCTCAGACATGTGAGAGGAAAATGCAATTATTGGGCTTCATTGAGAAGTGACTGGACAAATAAACTAAGCCTTAGTAATAAGATGGAATATTATATAGCAATCATAAACAACTTGTTATTCTTTTTATAAAGTCAAAACCATTAAAATAAAATCACAGATTTTAGGAATACACAGATATGTTATAAGAAGGAACTCAAATAATTAACACTAAATACCTCAGGACTAGTTGGGGAAGGACAATTCAGAAAAATTTAAATAACTATCAATGCTGTAATTTTATAGTTGGGAGGTAATTTCATGTTATTATAAATAACACTTTATAGAACAATAGTACTTAATATGTATATGAACATGATAAAAATTTAATGATGACTCTCAGTTTAAATCTACTGGAAGACAATACTTTTTTAGATCCAGTTAGGTACTATTCTCTATTGTGTCATAACATCTTATACAAGGCTAACAAATCAATAATTTCATTTTTGGTTAAAGAAAGAAAACTATAATCAGTACTTTCTGGTTTGATCGTATACCTAATTTATCTCTTAGCCTCAAATAACTGGAGGTTGTTTCCAAAAATCAATTTTTTCCCCCAAAGGACAAAGGCTATGCTCCAATTGAGGAAAAAAAAAGGGGGGTGGGTGGGACAACACACACAGAGTTTTTTCAAGCCAATTTTGAAAAAAGCTCAAAGATGTTAGAACAATGAAATATATATATTTAACCTGCTAAATAACCAACCTTTGAATATGGGTATTATCTTAAAAACTATAGACTCTTTACCTGGAGTGGAGAGCTTCCCCAGGGTAGAGCAAGAAGGTTGCCTTCTATTAGAATGCCTAGCACTGGACAAGCACTCTCATATCTGTTGAATGGAAATGCAAACTTTAGACTAAAGGACTTCTTTCTTAGGAAGAACTAGAATACAGCGCCCCCTAGTGCATTATGACAGTTTTGTTTTTTAATTTCTTTGAGATTTTAAGTACCAAAATAGTATTTGACATAAGATTTTAAATATCAAAATTTTTGAGTATCAAAATATTCAGCTTCAAGTATTACAAAAATTCAATTTATATTCAATATAAAATGTTATTTTATTTAAAAATTGATTTGAGTGTTCTACAGGAAAGTCATTTAGGAACAGTATAAGTGGCAAATTTAAGAGACCAGAATTCAGAGTTAAGAGGAAAGAATTATTACATTCTAATGAAAACCTTTATGACTTTTAGTGGTATATTAACAGAAATGCATGTAACTTCAACTCCTATATATACCTCCCTAATATTTAGTACAAAATAAATGAAGTCAACAAGACTCATAAGGGTGGGAAAACAAGAATTTGAGAATCCTATTTTTCTGACTCTCAATACAATTGTAAATAGAACTTTCCCTCCCCTTTCCTTCATTTACATGTTACACACAAAATTACCCTCTAACAAATGCAAAGAAAATTTTAACATGAACATGTTTGAGTATAGAGCCAAAATATTTTTCAAAGCCTTAAGCTTAAAATCTATCCAATATCAAACTCATTCATTTAACTAAAATCTTTTAACTTTAGGTGAATAGTACTTATAAGCCTTCTAAAAAAATGAAGACTTTCGTATTGCTTAAGTATCAAAAAACAGTCTCTATTTCTTTTCTTGCTTTGTCTGGCCTAAAAATGTTTTTTATTTTATCCACCCAGTAAGCCAGACAACCAGGGTCATTTATTAGAGCTAATCAACTTTACCCTTTAAGAGTCATTGTCTTTGTTCACTGGGGCCAATGACTGGGCCACTAAATAGTACGATGCAGAGCACAACTTTTCATTCCATGTAAAAGAGGCCACTGCTGTTCATTCTCTCTCCAAGTGAGCAGGGGTTGGGGACATCCCCTGGGTCTCCTCTAGTCCCTCTGTACCACTGTGGCCTTTTACCTTACTGTCTACAACATACTCTCACTCCCTCCTTCAGGTCACCAGTGTAGTAAGGGTTACCCAGTGAGGCCAGAAGTTTATCTCTTCAGTATTTCATTACTCTGATGTCCTACCAGTCTGACCCCTCATCTCAGCTAAGCCATTTTCTTTATGTCTGTTTGTCCTATTATTCTACTCAGATTTTAAGTTCCCCACTATATCCTGATTCTGTATTCTCCTGAAGTCTTACGGTAAAAATAACATGATCTGTAATAGTAATAATAACAGTAGTAATAAATGTCACTAAGAAATTGGTTTTATATTTTTAGTCAGGAATATCAGCTCCAATACCACTTTATGAATTAAAGAACCGTAGGCTGTTCAGAGCATTCTGAACACAAGAGGGAATGTGATTAGGAGTTGCTCTCAGAGAGCTCATTGTGAGGAAGACTGGTACCGTGGGGACAGTATGGTCTCCAGATAAAGGGACATAAAACAAGTTAATTTTAAAAATTTACTACTTACAAATCATAACGTACTCCAATTTTTTATTAGGTGAGAGTATTTTCAATGTTTCTCCTAAATAGAAGATTTCACACATGGAAAAGGACTGTATTTCTAAATCTCTTCAGTTTAATTTCATAGAAAGAAATCTAAGATACTGGGGGAGGACTTAGGGAAACAATTTTGAAAAAAGCAGTACTCAAGTGCCTACAATATGCTGAATACTATGCTAAGATGCTGGGGAATCAACAGTGAGCAAATCGACAGTGCTCTTGTACTGATGGAGCTTATAGGGCAATAGATAAGCAGATAAAAATGTTGTAGGTAAATGGCAAATTATAACATTGCTAAGCATCACAAAGAGAAGTCAGAGTACTAAGAGACCTGAAGGCTTCCCTGAGGAAACGACATCTTCAGGAGAGCCACAAAGGTGTAAAGAGAATGAACAAGTGGAAAGAAGAGTATGTACAATGTCTATGGCCCAAGTCTTAAGGAAGTGAAAGAGCCCGGTAGAAGGACTAGAGACAGATCACTGGGAAATGAGAGCAAAGAAGCGGAGAAGATAAACCTTGCAGAGTAGTCTGGGTTACTTTACTTTTAGGATATATCTTCATCCTAAAGGTAACAGATACATACTACTGAAGAATTTTAGTTGTATTATTATCTGAATATAGGATCATTTGGGCTTAATTCCGGGCACAAACTAGTAGATCAATAAATGCTTATCCTCTCCTAAACAACCTGAAATTTTTTCTTTATTATAGCAGTAGTTTACTTAATCAGTTAATAATTACAGTATTTTTATTAAATGAATTAGCATTACTTAATTTTAATTTAATGCTCATTTCTTCCAAGTTAATAAAGTAAAATTCATATTGCAGTAGAAAGAAGAAATTGTTTATTCAACCATAATATTATCTTGGATATTGTTAAAAATTAAGCACAACTAAGTTTGAATCATTCTATATTTGATTTTATGCTTAGTTTTATATACTACATATTTTGTAAAATATATTCATACCACCATGAAATAGAAGCAATCAAACAACATAAAGTTGTAAATGACAATTTAAGGCCTCAGAAGTTCAATATTATATATTTATGTAGCAAGATATGCCTTCAAGGAAGATTGAAGAACTTATTTAGAAACCTTTGTAGTTTTTAGTATATCAAGTATCTAATCCACAATACAGTGTTTGTACACTATTGACTAAGATATCTGGTTATTCAAATTTCTTCTATTTCTTTCAACTGTTTCTACTAAAATTCATTAAGACAATTTGCAAACAATAAAATAATTTACGTAAAGCATTTCAGCCATGCAGCTTTACATTTGCATAGAGAAAAAGAAGCTAAGTTTACTGATTAAAAGAATGTTAAGAATCTCTGGTAGATTACCAGAGCTACCAGATAGGCATGACATCAGGGAACCACATTCTGCCCAGATATTTGGAGACTTCAGTGTGGATTTCATCTAAACTATACTCTTCATCAGGGATCAAAACTTCTTCCATAATGGAGAGCTGTGTCAGCCTTCTCCCACATAGTCTTACAAACTCAATGAAAGCGCTGCAGCTAACTTCACATTCACTGAGGCCCAAAGCTGTCAAGTTTTTACAGTGTTCAGCAATACAAATAAGTTCATTATCAAGAATTTGAAGACCATTAGCAGATATCACTAATTCAATTAGTCGTGGACAGTTAAGAGCTATCCGCCCTAGAATTGTTTTGTTTACTGAACGACCAAAATATAGATGAGTGACAGGGATTTCTTCTTTGAAGAATGTTTCAAATTCCTCTTCTAATAAAAAGAAGTACATAACAATATTTACTCCAGGAGAATGTTTAACAAGTGCATCCCAACTTTGTTTTTGAATAGAATGAAATTCAATTTGTCCAGGGTTTTCACTCACAACATCAATTCGAAGATGTTCAAGGTTAACATGAGTCTTACTTGAAAGTGCTAGGAGAAGTTCATCACTTAAAATGTAATAATTCAATGCCAGTTCTCTAAGGCCTTGACAATGATCAGCTACACAAAGGATTCCTGTGAAAAATGGGGAAAGATTCCTAAGAATAAAGAACTGTACTTATACTAATATAATATCTAGTTAATTTAAAAGTGATATCACTTTTTATTTGCTAAAATAGACAATGTTTCCTGAAGAAATGGATGCTAAGATACAAAAACTTATATATAATAATAAAATATATAATATATAATAAAATAGTCTCAAGAGAAATAATTTGAACTCTATCTACCATGCAGATTAAGACTTCTTTTGAAAAAAGATTACTTTGGTGAATTATGCTTCATAAGCACATTCTTTTCAATAAAAACTTGCTACTATCATTATAATAAAAAAACATAATTCAAGCTTACCAGATGCTGTCAGTAATATGTGGACTACAGAGAAACTTGGCAATGGGTCAGGTAAGGCCAAACTCAAAAATTAGCCCTTGAATGTTGACCAGAAAATAAAGGCATCCAAAGTGGAAGGGAGAGGGGAGGGCTAGAACAAAGTGGTGTAGGAGCACAACAGGCTATGGTGATGGACTATGGGTCCTTTGGAGGTGGATGTGGCAGGATAACTACACCTGGAGGGGGGAATACTATACTTCCAAAATACCAACAACAATGTGAACTGTTATTACAGTAAAAAAAAATTATGTGTGTGTATATATACATATATATGTGTATATATACATACATACATACATACATACATATATATATAAAACCTACCATCAGATGAAACATGAGGACAGTTACTCATTTTTAAGAGTTGTAGCGTGCCACTATTATTTGCCACGAGAATTTTCAATGAAAGATCGTCCACTGGTGTGTCTTCAATTTTGACTGATGATAACGACTTTGAATTGTCAAAAACAATTCTAAGTGCTGATACAAAATGAGACTTGCAAGTAAAGAGAAAAAAATTATGAAAAAAATTACTGAAAAATCTACAGCTTCAATTTATTAAAATAATTTATATCATCCTATATTTATAACATAGTAAAAGCAATCAATGTATTTCTGTTTCCACAGTATTGTTAGCCAAGTAGAAAATATTTTTATGACAAAGTGTAATTTTATATTTTTATAATTGATAAATGAAATGGTAAGAAAGACATTTCAAAAACTTGTGAACATATCTTCCAATTATTTTCAATGTTAAGGATTTGATTTTTCAAGGTTGGTATATTTTAGTCTGAAGACCAAAGCCATTCTATGGGTTAAGAATGGGTTTTATAATTTTAAATGACTGAAGATAAATTTAATAATATTTTGTGAGTTATGAACATTATATGAAACTCCTCCAATGTTCACAATTAAGTCAGATTGGAACACAAACAATTCCTTCGTTCACATACTGTCTGCACTGGAGATCTGACATGCAAAATCCAAAATATTTATTATCTGCACCTTTTCAATCTCTATCCTAAGAATAAACAGAATTTTTATTCATCACACTCCCTCTTGTACTTCCTGCACCTAAAATAGCATATGACACAGAGAAGGCCAATATTTGTTGATAAAGAAATGAATGAATGATATCATATGTTCTGGGGATATAATTTTGGTGGCAAATTATCTAAACAAAGAGATTCTGAAAACTAGTATGGTTTGAAAACTGAAAATCCAGTGATTATTTATAGCTTGGCCACAAAATAGTAGACTTTCACAAGTTTTCAGATCTGACAGTTTTTGACACAGAAAGTCTCGAATCCAAATTCAAGCATGATCATTTTTCTTTTTACAAAATCAATTTGGACTCAATCAAAGGTTGTACCCTATCTATTAGAATGACCAAGTTGGTTACAAGTCTTAACTCACTTAAAAAATCTTACTGGTTTATACTAATTGTAACTGATTGATACAATATTTAAATGGTGGACAGCTAGATGTCTTTATTAAGTCCTTATGGTGTCAGAAATATATTATTCTCTTTCCTTAAGAAATATACTGTTCGGTGCCCATTAATCAATTTTTAAGTTTTTCAGTACATCGTTTTTTACAGTATCAACATAATTGCTTAGCATTTTTTAGTGCCTTGTGAAATGCTGTATTTTTATCTTATTTTTCCTTATTTTACAAATGAGTTTATGAGAGAGTCATGGCTTTGCCAAAAAACAAAGTTCATTTAACTAGGGAGGGAGACACTGAAAAGGAGTCTGTTCGCTACTGGTGCCCCGTGTGGTTAGCACCAGCTAATCTAGAAGCTGACCTTGGAAGCCAGTGTGCAACATTAAACACAGCTTAGAATCTAAGAATTTCAGTTTAATTTGATTCCATAGTTCATAAGCAAGGAAGTAAATACTTAGAAGGAGTAAGTTTTCATCTGATTATTTATATTACATTAATCCTAGGATGACCCACTTTTTTTTCAGCATATGTCTTAAAAGGATAAACAGGCTAGCAAAAATGTTTGCTGAAAGAGCCACAACCCAGTTTAATAGAGAGAAGATGTTACTATTCCTGCATGATCATCTGCAGCAAAGTTTCCATTATCTAATTTTACTGATAACCATAATTTAGTTGCTTATTATATATCAATTATTACTCTAATTCTATGTTTATAGTGGTAAAAAAAAAAACATGATCAAATCCTTGCTTTCAAGGAGTGTATGCTTTGGTCTGGAAAGAAAAGAATAACCATGTTAAATAAATAACTTCAAGTACTAATGAATAGTATAAAAGGAATGTAATATGATAGAGAGGAAATAGAAGGGGTTGCTATTTTTGCAAAAGTGGTCACAAAAAGCATTTTTGAGATGGCACTCAGGTTGAAGTCTTGATGAAGAGAGGACTGTTGATCATTTCTGTGGCAGAGACTGCTGGTTCCTTCCTAACAACTATTCATCTTTCTTTTTTGGTAACTCAGTTCTAAATTTTAGCTGGGCACATTGCCACTAGCCTAGCCTACCAGAAATGTGGTACGACAAGAGCTAAGTTCTGGGTAATGACTATATAGCTGCATTACGTGGCACCCCTAGCTGGTCTCCTTGGAAAAAAGAGGGGACATACTCTTCTTTTCTCAATTCTTCCACTCAGTTGCCTAGAACAAGAATGTGATGGTTAGGTCTTAGAAAGCCATATTGGACAAAGAAAACATCTTAGAGAAGATGGAATGACTGGAGTCTGGGTTTCTAACACCTGTCTATCTAGTAACTTCATATGGGCTATCTTACACATGAATTTCTTTGATGAAAGAAACAGATCCATATTTCTTTATTTTATTCCACTGTAGTTAATAAATTTCTATCAGGTGGACTCTACTAATTTAGTTCATTTAATCAAATTTTATGTTGTTTTAAATCCAATAGAGAGATTATATACTTAAAGGAAAAACATTCACTATTGGTCCTGTATTTCAAAGTATACACTATATTCAAAGTAACCAAATAAACTGGATCTTGAAAATCATAAGTATATTTAAATTTTATCTGAATGATAGCTCTTATAGAAACAATTGATAAAATTATGAAATATTTTTAAAGAATAAAACATGTACAAGCTATTTTAGTCAACAGAAAACTGTTTTAACTAGTATTCCAAATATACATAGGGTAAGGTTTGTTTTAGGAAAATAATCCTTTTTTGGTCTAGTATGACAAAATTTAAGAATTTTAGTATATTTCACAAAAATGTCTAACATCTTTACCTTTAACATATTCACAAAACTTGGCTTGGCTGTTGAAATCAAGCTCAAGGTCTGGATAGAACAATGTACCAGCTGAGAAAGTATATCACAGGCAGCTTCTGCTGATTCTGTACTACTATCAACCTACAAAAACAAATTAAAGTCTTAGTTTCCTAAGAGTAACTTACCAAAAAGTTACTGGCAACATAATTATTAAATAGAATTCAAGTACTAAAGTTTATTTGTCACTTAAAGCTGTAAAATAAATCAGTGATTTCTACACAAAATGTCTGATAAAATGTGAGAGACAATAACAAATTATCTTTCTAAGCATTTCCTTCACACTTTGAAATCTTTAACAATTACCTGGATTTAAACAATAGCATCAAAAAGAACAGAACTGAAGTTTATATTATTACACTATAGCTTAAATTTTATATTTTAATCTACATAAACAAAGACAAAAACCAGGAAATCGTTAGGATTAAAATCCTGCACAATTCATTAATGGCTTCAATATAATGATATAGATACACAAAAATGTTAGCAAAATATAAATCACCATTTCTATACCACCCTTATTTGCCTATTTTTCTTACTTTAATGATGACATATTGGAGATGGGCAGAATATTCTTTAATGATCTGCTGAATGAGATCAGGATGACTGGATTTAAAATATGAAATAGTTGATTGGTTCAGTTCAAATTCAAACTTTCTCCAGAGATCAGGAATATGAAAAACTTCATTCCACGTCTTACATACAGAAGAAGCCCGGGCTCGATCTATTAAAGGAAGATACTGGAAAATGTGTAACACTACATGATGAGGTAAACTTCCCCAATCGAGTAGAACAGTGCACACACGAGTCTGGTTGAGAGAAGAGTAGAAGCCAAGTTTTGACTGTTTTGCTGCTGGTGATGACTGGACAATTTTATTCACCACAGATAAATTGTTCCTCTTCATTCTGAAAACATTAAAAAATGTTAAGTGATCATTATCCCCACCCACAGATATTTGTGCTCTAATTGTACAATATTAGGAAATGAAAAACATTTAATTTTAAGCAATCTTCAACACTCATGCCTTGATAAGCACTTTTATGTGTTAGGGAAACAGATGAATGAGAGAAGACCTATACTCAAAGATCTATGGTCAAATGCTGAAATGCATGGTAAAAGTCGTAACTGAAGTTGTGATAAGCTGCAATGAAAGAATAAGATAATGATATGTGATTGAGTTTGTGTGTTGGAAGAGATGATTGGCGAAGTTTCGAAGTGGAAAAATCCTAGGAAACAGTATGTGTATTTAGTCCTGGTCAATTACTATACAATTATAGAGAAGAGAATAAAACATGCCTCTGTAATAGTGCTAAAAATTCTTGGAAGTTCTCAGAAACAGTAAAACAATAAAGCAGGGGTCTTGATTAAGCCCCAGCTCTGCTCTTTATTAACCATGTGACCTTCTCTGAGAAAATTAATTTAGTCCTCAATTTTCTCACATGAAAAGCTGGGGGAACAGCAGGACCAAGTTCATAAGCATTAAAGTACTTTTAAGTGGCAGCACACAGTGAGTGCTCAATTTATTGTTGCAATCATATTTGTTAACTGATTTGTTAACTGATTTATTATTTGAGTCAAAGCACAACTCTGACAAAAAATCAAGTGATCTCTGGTAATTTTCAGATGACACCGGCACACAGGATCTCCAGAAAAGGTGGAAAGACTATGTGTGCATCCTACCTGATGCTCACAGGACAACAGAAACTAGCAGAGGAATGAACATTCTTCTCCAATAAAAAGAAATGATGACTCTCCAGACATTAGTCAGCTTGAGACATAACTAAGTTCTGAAAAATTTCAGTTCAAGATAATACCAAGTACTGAGAGTTATCATACACCTATCTTTTATTTTAGAATCCGAGGCATGTTAAGTAAACAACCAATTTAAACACAAAATAATGGTTAGGGTGCTTCTCAGTTTTATTTAACTAGTTAAATATTTAACACTCTTTTCGCCCTGAGTGATAGAAACATACACACACACACGTGTGTGTGACTCAGTGTCACATGGATGCTTACCTTCAACTACAAAGAACTATTTGTTTACTATCTAAATATCTATGTCATCTGAGTCACTATGTCTGGTGTGAAACGAACATAAAGGTCCCAAAATTAGAACTGATTTATAAAGTCACAACACAAAATGAAAACACATTTTCAGGGTTTTGACAATTGACAAAATAGCGACAAAGCATTAGTCGACAGAACTACGAGACATACTTTGGTCTGACTAAATTTGTTAGGTGCATAACTGAAAACCTGTTCAGCAGTCCAATATAGGGTCTATGGTTTTGCTGACACCAACAGTATGCCAAAGTATATGCTCTTTTGAAAGGGCAGGTCTGGGACTATGGTGACAGCACGGGCGCGAGGAGGTGGTGGGAAGTCCATGGGAATTACAACTGAGATGAAAAAAATGTAAAAAAATGAAGACTAGTGTAAAAATATATAAAAATAAAGTTAATAAAAAAAGAAAGGGTGGATCTCGTTTTTAATGCTTATTCCCTACAGTGAAATATTAGAAAAAAATGTTATACCTGATTCCTCACCAGAAAAATCAGTAAAGCCAAAAACAAAATGAAGACATCATCCAAATGCCAGTCAGAAAACAACTGCAGTTCTGGATAAGGGAGTTAGCTATATAGTAAATCTGACTGAATGTAACATGGGTCAGGTGTTAAAATTATGTATTAGTAAAAGAATTAAACTTTTAATTCACAGATAGAATCATCATACTATATGTGAAAACCAAAAATTCTATTAAACTTTTCTTTTTCCTTGCCTACACTATTTAGAGCATAAAGTCTGATACATCATAAATTTCATATGAAGTAACTTTATAGCAATGAGCAACAGTGAAAACACATTTTAGAAAATAAGGGAAATTGAGCTTCATTAGCTTGAAACCCTTGATATGAAAACTCCTGCTTAAATATATACAGCCATTTAAAAAACTGGAGTATTTCTTTTTCAAACTACAAATTTTCTTACCTATAAAAGGTTTCCAAGTTACAGTCCAGTCAGAACAAATGCAATGAAGTAACTGCTGCCATGGGTACTTGCCAGCATCCACTCGATTTTTACTTCCTAGACTGGGAAAATACCACAAAAACACATATATTCATCAGAATGCATTAATAAAAATGCAGTAATGCTTATGTTTTGGATATTTATTTATAACTGTATATACTGGAGGACTTAGTTAAGAAATTGATTCCCAAAGTATTTTTTTCTACCCAGAGGGTGAAACCTGTCCACTAAAAAAATCTTAGGGCCTCCCTGGTATGGCAGGGGTTAAAGAGACAGTGCTATCAAGTTATGAGCCACTGCAGCAGGAGTCAATACCCCTGCTGGCCAGGGAACTAATCCACATGGCACAGCAGACATCTCCTGTCTGGCTTGCTGCTCCCCTCAGCAATGCATTTCACTAGATCTGCCTATTCTGCTCCCCACTCTCTCTGATGAATCCTCTTACTCCCCCAAACCTCTCCCCCCCACCCCTCTGGCCTACACCCCAATTCTTGTATGCATAAATAAATAAATCTTAAAAAAAAAATCTTAACCATTTAGTGGAAAGACATTATCATTAGCCAGGAATTACATTGAAGCACTACTAAAGGTTGTGGAAAAAAAAATAGAAGTTTGTGGATCAAATAGTCAAAGATTCTGAAAATTCACGTTTTAATAAAAATGTATAGAGAAGTAATTTTTAAAATTTCAGGAGTACATGAATATATTTATTTGCTTATAGGTTGTGTAAATTTTTGAGTTTGAGTTTTTAGCAACAGATAATAACACTATAGTAACAATAATTGTTAGCATACAAATAATTTTCATTATTTATCATTCCGAAGACATAGCTTTTTTGACTGGTCCACTGTTACCAGAACACATGCTTCTGTAGTTTTAAATTTTTTTTCACTTCTATTAATAGATACAATCAATGGATTCATACCCAGCTGATACTCTCTTTGAAATTGGACCAAATTGAGGCAGTGTGACATCAAAGTTAACAGCCTTCTATGAACATGGAAGAAAGTAACATTTCTACACCAACATAAAACTCAGTGACTTGGCATCATGCCAAAAATCCATACAATGAAAATACGTAAATAAATGCATTCTACCTCTTTTGAAAGGGAAATTTGACTATACAGAAAGGAAGGAGGTAACTGATGAACCCAATAAAAAGTCTCTTAGATATCTACTGCCTAACAGCTGCCAGCTCTCTCTCAGTCTTATGCCTAAAATAGATTTTTGGAGGACAAGCAAGGAGAATGCATTTGAGCTCAATGTCCACAATTTGATTTCCCCATTGTCATCTGTTCTATTATCCAAACCACTGTTTTTGAGATAATGGCAAAGCTGGCTCTCCTTCCTGCACATTCTACCCTAGGAGGCAGGCAGGAGCTACAGGGCACACTTTCAGAGGCATAGCATGAATAAGAAAAAGACAAGTGGATGTCTTGTATTCCCTACTCAGCTGACATACAATTTTATTCATCACTAAACCTTTCCTACTGCATATCAATATGGCTAAACCGGTGTTTAGCCGGTGGGCCACTCATTATGCTATAGAATACTCAAGTAACCTGGAAAGGGTATATACAGAGGAAAGGTATATAAAAACACATAAGAAGACAGTGGGCAAGTATCTACCGAGTATCAGTTCATCAGTGTTTTCATGTTCATACTAATTATTTCCCTGATTTTGAGGGAACTGGAGTGCTATTTCAAAGTCACCATCTGGAATTTGGAGGATGAGTAGAAGGATACAACCAGAAAACAGGACCCCCATCAAGTGATGGGCCATACTTCCAAAAAGGGAGGATGGGCAGTATGACACTGATCTTTAGCAGAGTATGAAACAGGTTTTTTAGCATTTGTGAAAGAATGTGATAACTGAAACTCAAAAGTCCCTTAGTAGCTTCAGCAACCATCCCAACCCAATTTCTTTTTTTACTAATTTGATGGATCAGGTAACCATGTGAATCAAATCCTCTGTAACTAGGAAATTCTCCACAGGGTTTCAAAGAAAAGGCTATCCAAAGACATATAAAAGACTGAACATCCAAAGCCAACACAATGGCCAAAATGGAAGGAACTCTCTTCTACTCCATCACCAAATACACCCAGATTTATTATTAAATGAATACACAAAATACTTTTAAAAGTTTCAACTTTTTAATTGTCACAAAGCCAGAAATATGTATAAATACTACAGATAACAGAAGAGTCAGAACTAACCTAAGAGGCTAAACAACCCTGTTAGAAGCAGCAAGATGAAGATAACCAGAAATACTCGCCAGGCTTTATTTAAGGTACTTTCTAAAGGGACACACTGAGAAAGCAGGTTGCTGCCACTATAGGCAGATGGCCACTGCTAAGGGGTCTGAAATTCCAGTCAGTGGAGGTATGACAAAAGGATATTACCTAACAGAACTGAAGAAGTGTTCCAAAGTACAGCTTTCAGACAAGTAAAAGCCAATTGTGTCAACAGATAATAACCTCCTCTTCACTAAGCTAAGCGTCCCCCAGCAGAAGACAAACCTGTTATTTAGGAAGGCTATCAAAAATATGTATGTACTTTGCAGCCCATGTGATCTCTAAGTTCTTGCCTAAATTTAAAAGCTAGTTTTTTTAAATATAAGAAAGTCAAACTACAATCTCATCAAAGTTTCAACGAGACAAAAGATATTAAGTATTCACATCCAACAAATCCTTCCCAAACCAGTGACTGGAGTTTCTGGTGTTCTAGAGCTTTATTTAACAATGTTCTACACTTGCTCAAAAATCACCTGGTGGTATTACACTATATTTAAAAAAGTTCCCACAGTACATGGAGGTATGTTGTGATGTGAGAAGGGGGTTACAGAGAACCTGGATTAAGCAATCTGTTAAAAATGGCGGGCAGGGGGAGGGGCGCGTCAGTCAGCACTTTCCACCCTTCCAGACTCTGCAGGAGAAAGGGGGTGGGGATCGGGGGTCTCGAAGCCAGGCCCTCTACCTGGAAGCTCTTCCCAAGTGGTGGGTACCCTGGGACACAAGAACTAGGTCAGAGGAGTCCAGAAAGCATTTTGCAACACTTTTCTGAGAGAAAATAATTTATTTTTCAACTTCATCTTTGAGGAAAAGTTTCTGGGACAGACATAATGGGAACATCCTAACAGTGGGACTCACAGGACAGCTTTGAGACTGCTTTACTCTGGGACATTGTCAACTCTTAGCTGTCTGCCTGTGAACTTGAAATAGTCGCACAAAAATCACAGCACTGTGGGCAACCACCGCTCTACAGCGCACATCTGACGGAGAAGTTAGATGAACGCAGCCCTTTACACTTTACCCTCCAGAATGCCGAGAACCCCGGTGCCTCGCGGGGTCCTGAAGAAAAAACAAGGTAAGAAAGGCACACCCTGAGATGGAAAACGCCAACGAAAGACCCGACCTCGGGGCAAACCAAACGCCAGCTGCGCCAGTCTTCCCAACACCCCCCCCCACCCCCCACCTGGACCGGGTCTGCGGGTGGAGTCGCTCCTCAGGGGGTGCCCCCACCTCTGCCTCGGGCGGCCAGGTCACGCCTTCTCGTTCCTGACTAAAACGCCGGTGACACCCCTTCCCCAAAACACCCCCCGCCTGAGGCGGGACCCGAGCTCCAGCGCCGCTTCCTTGAAGCCAGCTGAGGCGCACAGCGCGAAGACCACCGCGACCCCCAGAAGGAAATGCTACCTTCAGACAGATAACCGCGTGTCTCCGCGCGTGCCCCGGCTCTCGCATACCACGCAGGGGCGGCGAGCCAGGCCAGCCCTGTCCGCGCTGGGAGTGGCGGCCCCGGGAGCTCCCAGCGCTCCGCCGGGTGGGAGCGAAGACCACCAAGTGCATCCGCACTCCACAGCTCCGCCCCGCGCCGCGGCAGGCCCCGCCCTGGCCCCGCCCCTGCCCGGCCACGCCCCAGACGTGCCCCCAGACCGCTACGCATGCGTCGGGTTTCACCTAGCTGAGGATGACTTACAGCTCTCAGGACTTCAGGCAAACCTGTGGGCCTTCATAAGAGAAAGTGTGGTGGAAAGTTTGCTGCCTGTTGGTCTTCAGCTAAGTCATTCTGCCTGCCTGCCTGCCTGCCTGCCATGGCATTATAGAGCAGACTTTCCATATGGCAGAGAATTAACAGTTCCACTTTCTAGATCTTAACCTCTCTGCTAAGTGCACCCCTATATTAATATAAAGATACTTGAAAGGTGACGTTTAAAATATCAAAAGTGATAACAGTTCTGTGTTTATTACCTCTATGGCGTCCCCTTGTCCTGTGCCACATCTCATCCCCTGGCAATAACCACTGACCTTCCTTGTGCAAAACAAGACATTCGATAAATGCACAAGTTTACTGTGAGAGGTTAGGATCTATTACTTAAATTTCTTTTTTTTTTTTGAAAACCTGAAGTCAAACTATACATAATATTCTGAACTTCTTCTGTTGTTTACTATATCATGGACATAATTCCATGTTAACACATATAGCTCCCGCAATAGTTTTTTTTTTTTAACAAATAGCTTCATTCAAATATAATTGACAAAATAAACTGCACATCTGTAAAGAATACAATTTGACAAGCTTTGACACCTTTGAAGTCATCACCGTAATTAAAAAATGAACATATGTATGTCTCCCAAAAGTTTCCTTATGCCACCTGTGGCCCCTCCTTTATTCAATTCTGTGATCTGCCTTCTAACACCATAGATTCCCACGCACTTTCTAGAATTTTATATAAGTTGAGTCATGTAGTATTTAGTCTTTTTGTTTGACTTTTCACACTCAACATTAGTGTTTACAGTTTCATCCATGTTGTATGTTGTCATGTTTCCTTTTTTTTTTTTTAATGGCAGAGTAGTAGTATATTATATGGATATAGCAAGGTGTGTTTATCCATTCACCTGATGATGGACATTTTGGTTATTTCTAGTTTTGGGCTATTACAAATATAGTCATTATGAACAGTATAATATGCATCTTTGGTCAAATGCTTTCACTTCTCTTGAATAAATACCTAGGAGTGTAATTGCTGCATTGTATAACAGGTATGTGTTCAACTTCTAAAAAGACTGTCAGTTGCAATATATCAGAGTTCCACCTCCTTCACATCTTCACCCACACTTTTAATAGGCATCTACTGGTATCACATTGAAGATTTAGTGTACATATCCTTAATGAATAATGATATTGAGCCTTTTTTTTTTTTTGAGTGCTTATTGGCCATTATACTTTTTTTGTGGGGAGGGTCTTTTAAACTAGATTGCCTGATTTTATTTTATTTTTATTAACTTTGTCAGTCATTTACATGTTTATATAACTTTGGGAATACATTTACCCCACCCATATATGTGCATACAATCCTTACCTCCCACTAAACCTCCCATGCCAGTGCTGTCCTTTTTTCCCCCTACATCCTCTTCCTGTCCCCTTTTCCCTCATGATAATTAGCAAAATTTTTACTAAGCTTAAGATTTGTTTTACTTGTATTTTGCCAATATGTTGCATTGTTACTTATATTCCACAGGGAGGTGAAACCACCTAATACCTATCTTTCACTTTCTGGCTTAATTCACTCTGCACTATCACCTCCATCCAGGTCTATATATTTCATCTTATTTTTAAGATTTATTTATTTATGCTTACAGACCTGGGATACAGGCCAGAGGTGTAGTGGGTGAGAGGATTCACCAGAGACAGATTGGGGAGTAGAACAGGCAAATATACTGAAATACTCTGCTGAGGGGTGCAGCAGGCCGGTCAGGAGAGAGGTCTGTCATGCCATGTTTGTCAGCTCCCTGTCTGGGAATTGAACTCTTGTTGCAGTGGCTTCCGAGAGCTTCATAATGTGTGCTTTAACCAGTTGCACCACCAGGGAAAGCCCTATTTCATCTTTTTAAATAGCTGTGTAGAATTCCACTGAGTATCTATCCCATAATTTTTTATCCAGTCATTTGTCAATGGGCATATAGGTCATGAGCTAGCAACTGAACAGTCTGCTGTTAACATAGAAGTACAAAATTATTTTCAAATTAGAGTTCTGATATTCTTTGGGTAAATATGTAACAGAGGGATTGTTGGGTGATTTACATATTCCTTTTAAAATTCGCCATGCGGTTTTTCATAGAGGTTATGCCAACTTGCACTCCCACCAATAGCGGAAGAGAGTTCCTTTTTTTCCACATCCTCACTGACATTTGTTATTTCCATTCTTTTTATTCTGAGCGAGTCTCACAGGGACAGTGTGGTATCTTGTGGTTTTCATTAAATAAGTGATGTTGAGCAATTTTTCATGTGCCTGTAGATGTTTGAATGTCTTTTTTTTTTTTTTTTT